CCCACATTAAAGGTCCTTTTTTAATAATGGATTGAGTCAAATATTTGCCACAGAGTGCTACAGCTAGGTCCTATGCCATTATATTCTAATGTCCTGCGGAACAAGCCAAAGTACCCCAGTGTACTGCCATGTACCATGTGCTAAGATAGCTGTGGCCTACAGAGTCCCTGAGAGTGATGCCAATCATCATCAAAAGCATTTTTTTAAGCACCTATCTGTACATGGTTCTATCCTAGGCACTGTACAAAACGAATTAAACAGACTTGGCCCTTGCCCCCTGGGAATTTTCAATCTAAGATGATGCTGACATGGACAGACATAAGGATATTGAGACAACTGAACAAACATTGAACAAGAACATAAAGTACTAACATTATGCACAAGCAAAGGGGTAAGTGTATTTTGTGGGATAGTTTTAAAGGAAGCCCATGGGACATGAACAGGGTGGGGTAGAGCAATTAGTCAACCTCTTATCAGGTTAGATTAGTTTTCATTGGGAAGTCTGGGTTTTCATACAGACTTAAAGTAGGGACAGGACATTCCAGAAATAGAACACAACAAAAAGATTTGGAGCAAAGAGAGAAACTTAGAACTATATTGTTGGACTCATCATGACATCCAAAATTACGGTTCTGGATGGTTCTGAATCTGAAAGTGGGGTTGATGTTTCAGCTTAGGTTGGCATTAAAGTTGGGTCTAGATCAAAACTAGTTCAGTGCCAAACCAAAAAAAGCCTGGAAACTTGCATAGCTTTTGCAAACAGTCTGTTTTGCTTATTAAACTCTTTTATAAACCATTGGCCACTTAACAGAAAACTTCACTGGAGCTGTTATCGTCTTAGGAACTTATACAAGGTTGTCTTGTGAAGCACCTATTTTTGCTCATTAAATTGTGTTCTGTGTTAGAAAATGTAGCACTCTGGCAACATATAGAAATTATTTCTTAAGAATTGGTGAGAGGGTTTTTGTTTTGTTTTGTTTTTTAAGGATACCTTTCTATCCCAGAGAAAGGTCGTAGGAATTCTGGTTGTTACTGTAAGCAGTGCCCATAGATGTTGAGCCCTAAATATTACCTGCCCTTCAGTCATTAATTTCTTATCCTCCCGATGTGCCTTTAACACCATGCATACATAAATTTTAATTTAAATCACAGCTGCAACAAATCTACTTGCTCAGTGTCTGCCAGATAAAACTGATTACTTCTTTTTCAGTAGACACAGACTTAGGAGTTTCCCCAGTAGTTCTGAGCTCACTGTTTGATGTCATTCACATCTGAAATGTGAAAATTTGAATTTACCCAGAGTATTAGGGTATATTTTCTTTACAAAAGCTTCTTTATTGTACAAAAGAATTCACAATAGATTTTCTTTTAATTGCAAGCTTCCTTAGTGCCCTTTAAATTATTGGGTTTTCAAAACTTAGATTTATACAGAGCTTCTTCAATTGCCATCCATTGTGTAAATATAGTATATTGAAAATGTAAGTGGTGAACCCCACTGAGACATTAAAAATTCAATAATGCCTTTTTAAAATATTGAAGCCATTTTTTGCCCTTAGGTATTTGACTTGTGTGATGTGCACTTATTCATACTTCCTCCTCCTCATTAGATTTGGCGTTTTATAGGTCTAGTCTTTCCTCGCTTTCCATAATTCTTTGTGCTGTAATACAACAGTAAGAAGAATCTTGTAACTTGCTATTTTTCTTTTGACCCCAAGTCATGGGATAGTAGCACATGGTAAGCTTCCTAATAGTAAGAGTATGATTTAGGGACTGCCATCCAGAGAAATTCAGTGATTGTTTTAACTCACTAAATAGCTTGCCTAAATAACCTTTAGCTCTAAGAAATACCTCCCCTGGATGGCAGTTTATTCTCATGGTATGTTTACTACTAAACATTTATCTTATCTTTTAAGTATTAAACTGTTCTTGGACTAGTCTATCTGGAAGAGCCTGGAGAGGTTTAGACAAAATCAAAACAGAAGTCTAGACAAAACTATTTCATAAAAACTGGAAATAGGGACTATAAAATACAGCCAGTGTCTTCATTTAATCTAGCACATCTTTTGTATATGATTCAAGGAATGAGTAGAAAATTTCCAAAACTGTACAGGTTTTTTGTTTTTGCTTGCACAAAAAGAATTCACACCCATTGATTCAGGAAGAAAACTGAAATTGAGCTCGTTATATTAGAACCATCTGAGATCTTGAAAAGAAAAACAATTCAAACATCTCTAGATTGCCCATGTTCATGATAGATAAAAGTGGTAGTGATGGTTTTTTTTAGTAATGATATTGCTTCACTCCATCAGTAGATAGTTCTAAGTACCCTGTTGAAAGGAGAGAGGAAGAAGGTACATTGGAAGCATGTAAAATACCTTCTTTCCTTACCAATTTTTATTCTGACTGGGTAGAAAATAGTCCTATAGTTAACTTGGGCTGGGTGCAAAATAGTGAAAAAGACCTAGAGATTTTCATATCATAGTTTTAAATAAGTACCTCAGTAGAGAATTCAGCAAATATTTGAGAGTCATAGGAACTTGGGATTCATCAATAAGCAAAACAAAAACATTTTTCCCTTTGGAGCTTATGTTCTAGTTCAAAAGTTAGCAGATTTTTTCTGTTAAAACCAGAGAGTAAATATTTTAGGCTTTGCATGTGACCATGTTCCATACAAAACTTTATTTACAAAAGTAAGCAGCCAGCTGGATTTGGTCCGTGGCCCATAGTTTCCCAACCATATTCTTGTAGGTAGAAACAGAATGAGTAAATTAGAGTATGTTAGGTGGTAAGTGCTTTGGGAAAAAGAAAAACAGTGCAGAGTAGTTAAATAGGGAGTATCATGAGGTAGAAGTTGGCAGGGTGAGTCTCACTGAGGTCAAGAAGAGGAGGAACCAAGAAAGACTGAAAAGTTAATGACTGGTGATGGAGAGAAAACCAAGAGATGGTGATGTCCTAGAAGTGTAATGAAGAACCATATATTGGGAAGAGGAAGGGAACATCTGTGTCAGATGTTGCTGCTAGGCCAAATAGGAGGAAGGCTGAGATTACACCATTAAATTAATTAATTTTAGGTTGTTAGTGACCATTATGAGCAGTTTTGGTGGAAAGAATTGAAGGAGAGTGAAAACATTAAGTCTTCTGAGGAATTTTGTTATAAGGGAAGCAAAGATGGAGCAGTGAGGGAAGAAGGATCAAGAGAAGAATTTGGGTTTTTTTTAAGATAGAAGAAATAATGACATGTCTCATGGAAATAATCCAGTAGAGAGGAAATGATGTAGGAGACGGTTGCTGGAGCTGTGGCTTTGAGTTGGCAAGGGAATGGGATCTGGTGTGTCAGTGGAGGGATTAACTTCAGATAGGTGTGATGTTGGTAGGTGGGTACATGTGCCATGGAGAGTCTGGACTTGTTTTGTGGCTTCAATTTTCTGATTAAAAAATTATCAGTAGAGAATATGAAAGTTGAAGTGTGGAGGTTTCATATATACCTATGGTTTTTTACTTTTAGTACCAGCATTTGAGGGATCTTTGGTGACTCACTAAAATGACTTTTATTTTACCCTCTGAGGGAGTTTTAAACTTAACCTAGCAAATTTGTATATTTTAAGGACTAAACCCTACATTATGAGATTGAATAATGATGCATGTAATGCCTGTGGCACAGCACCTGGTATCCTGTAGACGCTCAAGAAGTGCTATTATTAGAGGACATAGTTAGTAAATACACTAAATTGAAATCATAGGTCCTTTGACATCATCCCTCCTAATGTTCTTTCTACTTCACAGTGTGGTCTTTCTTTATACAGTGACTACTGATATTACTGGCTCCAGTGATTAGGGGCTCCATAGATGGAGGCTTGTTCTTACGTGTTTTAATTATTTTATCATATTGCTCTGTTAATTTCTTTGTACAATAAAAATAGTTTTGTATATGGCATCCTCCTATAGATTGTAACCCCCCAGAAGGTAGGTAATAATTTTTACACATTTCCAAGAAAATGTCTCAAGTAATAGTTTGTATGTAGAGGGTATTCAACAAATATGGTGATTAGTAAATCAAGGTTTCATAGTTCTGTGACCAAACTTAGATACTCACTTCTTTAGGACTTGCTCTAATTCAGGCCTAAGACCCTTCCACTATTCTGGAAAATTTTGGAGCTAAATTATATTGGACTTAAGCAATTAGAAAACCTCCAAATATAGCTATTCTAAATACCTTCCAAAGGAAGGTAGTAGCCAGATTTCACAGTAAGCATACAATAATAGAAGTATAATTGGCACATACAGCTGTTGGAATGCCATGAAAACTGGCGTTGTAATCATTAAAAGAAGTTTGTTAAATGGGTATTATATGTAAGTGATGAGCGACTAAATTCTACTCCTGAAACTAGTAGTACATTATATGTTAGCTAACTGGAATTTACGTACAAACTTGAAAAAAGAAAAGTTTGTTAGAGAATAATGCTCAACTATTCCATATTGAAAATCAAAGTAAAATAGATTGACTTCATATAACTACAAGAAAATAGCCTTGGTTACCTTCAAATACTGCACCAAGGAAGTAATGAGTGAAGTCAAAGAAGTGGTATTTTTACCAAGTACTAGGAATCTAACTGTGGGCAAGGAACTGTTTGGGAAGAGCAAGCTGAAATGGCCATTTCATTCTGTAGTAGCCAGTGTGAATAAAAGAATTGAGAGAATATATTTTCTTCATAAGAAGCCGCTGTGTTCGAGCCTTTAATCTTAGGTTTACTGATAAAGATATAAAATTTGAAGAGGCTATTTCCTAGAATTTAGGAAGTAAAACTTAGCTATTTATGCAGACAACTGAGAAAGTCTAAATTTATTTAAATCTAGGTTCCCATCACATTTATAATAGTTATCTCTAAAGCATCAGAACATCCAACTTCATAAAAATATTTAGATCAATGGAAAATACTGAATAAGTCATTTTTTAAAAAATCTGTCTTGTGTTGAGACATTACTTTCTTTTTTTATTATAGGTCCGGTTGTTTACGTCTTGGATCTTGCGGATAGACTGATCTCAAAAGCTTGTCCATTTGCTGCAGCGGGAATAATGGTTGGCTCTATCTATTGGACAGCTGTGACTTATGGAGCAGTGACAGTGATGCAGGTTCTGTATTTTACTCTGTTCAATGATAATTTTTATGTGAAGATCTATTAAATAGATTTCTGTTAGGAGAGTTTTAAAAATTATTACTATTCTTTTGAACAAGTAATAACCTTCTGGTGGCTTAAAAATAAGAAATTATTATAAGAAACTATCTAGTGAAAAGTCATCTTCTTACTCCTGCTCATTTGCCCAGGTTCCCCCTCACTTCTCCAGATAGCCACTCTTATTAGTTATATAATATATTCTTCTAGACTTTCTTTGTGCATATGCAAGAAAAAATAAATTTGTTCTCCCACACACACATACCTTTTTTCCTCTTAAAGGAAGCAGAGTAGAAATGTACCCCCCCCTTTTTCTTTTTACAAAGAGTGAACCTTGGAGATCTTTTCATATAAGTATGTAGACATCTTCATAGCATTCTATGTGTGGAATTAGAACAACTTATTAACCAATCTGTTGATTAGACAATTAGTTGCTTCCTGTTTTTTGCTACCATCAATAACTGTTAAGATTATTAGACTTAAATTTCAAAATTTAGTCCCAGACCCTTGACTCCTCTTTATACTTCTTTAAAAATTTCCAGCTATCATCTCTGTACTTTTTGGGCTTACATCTATGTCTTTGCCCTAATCTGTCCTCAAATCCAGTCCTACTGTCACAGTTTGACTCTTCTTAAAGGACCTTTTGTGATTTCACACTCAGTATTATTGATCAGATTAGTCTTTTCCTCAGTTTGAAACCTAAATTTATTCCCCATTATAATTTTTCTATACCTTTGATTGCTACTGTTATTTTCCCATCTACTCAGTCTGTATCCCACATTCTTAGGATTACCTTTAGCTCTTTCTACTTCATAGACCTAGATTGGTCCACTGACCCAAATCCAAGCAATATTCATTTTTATACGTCTTGTATCTGTAGCTTCTTTTCCACAGACTTAACCACCTGATTTGTTGTCACTCCCCCATCATACTTGTGGGCTAAAGGAGCCTCTTGATTGGTTTCTCTTAATTTCATCCTCTTCTATCAGTCCATCCTTCTAAATCAGTCTTCCTAAAATAATACTTTCAACATCTACTTCAAGCTCACCATCTCCTCTGCCTTAAGTAGTGCTTTACCAATGCAGCACTTAGATTGGGTGTTTCATAAATAACTCAGTAATAGTTAACACACTATATATTCTAGAAATTGCACATAACCTGTCTGTGCTGGGTCCATAGTGAATGGCGTTTCTGGTTGCTTCATTAATAATCATGGTGGGACATATATTGCAAGGCTTCTTCATGAAGTATTGATGACACCCCCAAAATCTGGATATAGTCACTAGAATGAATTGCAAAATGAATTGCATCATTTGTCATGAGTGTAATGGGTAAAGATTAAGAACCACTGACTTGAAAAAGATTCCATTTCCTTAACCTGATTTGTTACACAGGGTGGTTCACAGTCTCACTTCATTCTACTTTGAGGCCTATTGGGCTGTCTCCTCCAACCCATCCTTAGGCTGTTTACTTTTTTACCTCTGTCCTTTGGCTTTTGTCACCCTCCCTGCCTCATACCTGTCCTTCCACTATTCTTTTCCCACTTACTTCTCCATGAATCAGTTTTAGTTTCAATCCCTGTTAATTGTGAGGAATTTGAATGAGACCTTCTGCCTACATTTTTACTGAAAAGACAACATAATAGGAACTTTTTTCCCCAGCACTGGGCTAAACACCTTTCCAGCAGTGGTATATTTAATCCTCGTAACAGTCTTGTGACCTAAATACTATCAATTATTCCTAGTTTATAGATTTGGCGAGTTTACATGTCCACTACCACACAGCAAGAAAGACCCCCCTACCCCTGTCCCTAATCTGGGACTCCTTAGGTGAAACCTGGCTCCAAAGACAGTGGGAACATTTTACCCTGGAACAATAGGACCTTAATGTCCAGCCTAGTTCCACTTTTGCCTCTAGTGTAAAGATAACCCCCATAAGCATTGTCCATTCTTAACTCTTATACTGTCCTTAATTATCCTTAATTCTGACTAAGAAAGCCTATTAGTTCACCACTGTTTCCTTCTGCCATTTAAAAGTAGGTTCCTAAAACGAAGTGCTTTATAAGGTCAGGCCTAAGTTAAAACTCTTAGCCTTTCAGCATTGGTGACCTCCTGGATATGAAGATCTAGCTTTTAGCTCTTAAGCAGAAAAACAAACCTTTATCTAAAACTACAGTTCCTAGGACTTTATTTTATACACAGATAACAAATTCTTACAGAAGACATTCTGTAGTTCCTGAATCTCATCCCAAAATTGAAGTCTTAAAAATAATCTTTTTAATCTTGGGGCATAAAACCAGAATGTACATGATCATACACAATTTGCTGGATTTGTATTGACCAAAGTTAAATCAGCCCCATTGCTTAATTCAGCTTTCATTTTCTGCCCTTGAGTCTGACTATAGTAGCAGGTGGTAAACTACAGTTGTACTATTCTGTTTCCTTTGCAGCATTTATATTTGCATGCTTGTTTGATTTGATTTGATTGTGTCTCACCTCCAAAAGACATCTGTTTAGCTTACCGTTTTATCCCCAACACCTAGGCCTGTGTTTGGCACATAATCAGTATTCAGTTGAATGTACGCATAGTGAGCCCAGCTTGAGTACAAAGCATCTGTCTCCACTTTAGATATAACAAGTGGGACAGTGGGTCTCTTGCTCACTGTTTGTCCTATTTATTTTCTTTTTTGTTTCCTCATTCTTAGACACCAGGTTGTAAGGTTTTTACTGCCACCCATGAGGAATAAACTTTCCCTTACTATAGTCTCTACCTGAATATCACTCTGCTTTATATTTCTGAACCCCAAATTCTAAAAAGAATAGTATAACCCAACAGGAATTTTTCAAATTTCTGAATTTATTTACTAATAGTTCAAGAATATTTAAATCACATTTAGTTGTAACTTTATAAGTGATCATTATATTGAAAATAATAAAATGATATAAAAATAGAATGTCCTGAAAAGGCATAGGTAAAGACACAGTCTCTGGGCTAATCCACTTTTGCCACTAGTGTGGGATTAAGGTTTATGAAATACAGTGGACCCTTGAACAACATGGGGGTTAGGGGCACTGATAACCCCCCCCTCGTGCAGTAGAGAATCCATGGATAACTTCTGACTCCCCAAAAACTTAACTACTAATAGCCTGCTGTGACCAGAAACCTTACTGATAACGTAAAGTCCACTAACACACATTTTTGTATGTGTACCATATGCTATATTTTTATAGTAAAGCAAGCTAGAGAAAAGCAGATGTTATTAGGAAATCACAAGGAAGAGAAAATAACAGTACTGTATACAGTATCTATCAGTGTATATATAAGTGGACCAGTATAGTTCAAACCCGTGTTGTTCAAGGGTCAACTGTTTGTGAACCAGACTCTTTCACTTAAGGGCAACTCAGAACAATTATCCTTCACATACAAGGTGTCGGGTTTCTCTGTGGAGACACAGAAGAATATCAGGTACCTGTACCATGGTTTTTGGCCACTTGGAAGAGGTTAGCCTCCCGCCCTTTAATATTACATTGTATTTAGGGACGTTAATGAAGTACAAGCTTGGACTATATCCCTAGCTCAGATTTTAAAAGCATCATTTTGGCTCTCCCCACATAGTTATAAAATATTTTTACCTGGATTGAGTGTGTTGTCTAGAATTTCAGTTTGCTCTGACCATTCTCAGCTTTACCTCATTTCACATCTTATAGTAGTCCCCCTAAAAAAAATCTGCTATGGTAGTTGACATAAAGAGCATCTCATTTTTTTTAAAAAAACCCACTTTTTCATGAGCTTGTTTTCCTCAGGGTCCCTGGCAACTTTTAGTTTTCCCTACCTTCTTTCTTCCCTTTCCTCCTTGCCTGCCCTTCCTTTCACCTCCTACCTATCAAAGATAGACAAGGTTCTTCCCAATCCTTTCTTCCTGATTTACTCCTCAAGTGTGATCAGAAAAACTATATGGAGTCTTTATAGTAGTATCCTCCTAGCAAGCTGTCCTCACAGTGTGATTGATACCTGGGTGGGGGTATAAGCCCAAGATTTGGAAATAGTCTCCTTTTCCTGTCATAACTGCCAAGAATGATGACTCAGAGAAATAGGTTTAATTTGGAAGCATTTGAGACTTTGGCTAAAGGGAAGATCATTTGAGACCTTTGAAAGAGAATTTTCAGGGAAAATCTGTAGTTAAAAGTAAGAAACTCACCAATAAAATGGAGATGTTGAGAGAAGCGTAAGACCAAGATTGATTGAGTAAAAAGGATTTTCCTGGGAGGGGAAGTACGGAGATTCACAAATAAGAATTAATCATGTCCTTCTTGCCCTCTGGGATCTAATCCAATTGAGAAATAGCCCTAAGACCCAAATAAGAAGGGAAGGTTGTTTTAGCTTCATTATACCCCATTGATAGGACACCCTAGGGTTCCTGGACTGGAAAAATGACTGGAACCTATAGCAAAAACTACTACAGTAGACCTTGGAATTGCATTGTAGCTGAGTTAGGTCTGTAGAACAGGCATTTAGCCAGCCAGAAAAATCACTCTATCCCAGACGCAACTGAGTATGGAGAAAGAACCAGAGAAGTGAGCTTTCGGGCTATCTCCTGAAGGCTGGTCCTGCCCTTGGCTGGCTGTGCACACCCCAGTAGGAAGAGCAGGAGAAGAGACTCTGCCGGAGCACAAGTAGGACTTAAGATTGGAGTCCAGTCTAATCAAATCAAATCAGAGGAATTAAGGAACCAGAAGTCCCTCCCTCTGCTGAATTGTAATCACTGTGGGTCAATCATTTCTAAGGCTTTTATTCCAGAATAATATGAAATAGCTTAGGAGCTTTTCTTCCCCTGAATGAGAGACACTTCAAGTCAGGACTGATAGCTTTCCAGCTTATTTTTAAAACTTTTTTTTTCTGTATTCTTTTGGAAGGCAGCTATGCTCACCACTATACCACCAACGCTTCTGTATTCTTTTGAAATTTAGCATTTCCTCTAACATGAGTTCAGTTCGTGCACGCAACCCTTCATCAGATAAGGAAATGATTCTAGCAATGCTGTCTGTTTCACAGGTTGTGGGCCATAAGGAAGGTCTGGATGTTATGGAAAGAGCTGACCCTTTATTCCTTCTAATCGGACTTCCTACTATCCCTGTCATGCTGATACTAGGCAAGATGATACGCTGGGAGGACTACGTGCTTAGACTATGGCGCAAATACTCCAATAAACTCCAAATTTTGAACAGTATATTTCCAGGTAAGTCCCTGGAAAAGCTGTGGCTATCATGAGCACACCAAATTAACTCTGTGGACGAGTCCCGGGCTGCATAGACACCCGGTGACTGATGTGCTCGCACGAACACCCTGCGTTTTCGTTTTCTCCAGGCATTGGTTGTCCTGTTCCTCGCGTCCCAGCTGAGGCTAACCCTTTAGCAGACCACGTCTCTGCCACCCGAATTTTGTGTGGAGCCCTTGTCTTTCCTACCATTGCGACCATAGTTGGTAAACTGATGTTCAGTAGTGTTAACTCTAATTTACAAAGGACAATCTTGGTAAGATGGTTTTAATATTACTTTTTTTTTCAAGTGACTATACAAAAGAGAACGAACTGTATATTTATTCAAAAAGAACCCCAGTGGGGCTATATAAATATTCATTCTGTGGCTGCTGGGCCTTAAGGTTCTGTTTGATCCCCACTGGTTATCCAATAGCAAGAAAGAGGGGAGGACCCAGTACCTCACTCCTGGCCTTCCGGAACAATGCTGTGGGTGATTTCTCTCCTAGAATAGGCATGAATTTTCCACCCGTCCCTCTTGCCAACAAGATTATGGTGAAGAGCTTCTGCTCTAGGGCCAGACTGCCTGATTCATATCCTATCACAGAAATTGCTTTGATGAAATCAAATGTCTTGACTTCTCTGTGCCTGTAAAATACAGATCTTATTGGTAGCTACATCAGGATTACTGGGAGGATTAAATGAGACAATTCATTTGAAGTGCTAGCACATAGTCAACCCTTGTGTTGATGTCATTATTCTTCTCACTTCCCCTATCTGATGTCAGCCTGCACATGTGTCCAGGCCTTCCCCCTGGTGTATCAGACTGGACATAGAGCTAAGTGGAGAGATTACTCAATAGAACAGGGAAGGTGTCTCTTTTAGGTGTAGTGTCTCTGCCTGTCTCACCCCCTGGTAGAAAAAAGAACTGTTTCTTTTGCATTCATCTGAATTAGCAGCAATGGCTGCATCTTTTGTGAGCTAAGTAAAATTATTTTTATTATTACGTTTCTCTAAATCTGCATTATAAAAAGCTAATTTTCCTTTTTATTTTAGGGTGGAATTGCTTTTGTTGCCATAAAAGGAGCATTCAAGGTTTACTTCAAACAACAGCAATATTTACGTCAGGCACACCGCAAAATTCTAAATTATCCAGAGCAAGAAGAAGCATAAAACTGTGACTTCTAGTTGTTCTGCAGTCCTCTCATCCTTATGAATCTGTTGTGTTGTTCTGATTCCATCATTAATGCACAGTAGTGGAGACTTATGATAAGCTGCTGCTCATATTTTTAAGAAATATAATAAAGCACTTAGGGCAGGGGAAATCCTCTCAGTAATCATGGAACCTAAGGTTGTGATTTGTTTTCATTGTTTTGTATGTACTTCTTTTATGGCAGTCATCTGAACCATTATTTAGCATGGTAAACCTGGGTTTTGTTCATATTTTCTCCAGATAGAAATGTAAAGATCAAACTGTGCAAATATTTAAAAATGCACATGCTGTTTTATTCAAATGCCTCTTTTGTACATGTTCATGTTCAGTGTTTTCATAGAATCAGCAACTCAATGAAGGTACTATGAGGATTTTTCTCACTGGCATAATTTGATTACATGCTGAACAGGAATATATGTTAATATGAGGAAATGTAAATTAGTTATAAAAAAAACAAACCAAAAATGTATGTAAACATTCAAATGATTATCTGAACAAATGCGATTTTGTTGTGTTTTTCTTAACCCATGTGACATCCTCCAAAATGTGTAGGATAAAAATTCACAGGGCTTCCAAATCACTTTTTCACTATTAAATTTTATTTATATAATGTTGACATCTCATAGTTCATAATGTAATTTTGACTCATGCAGTCTTAATTACTGTGTGTGTGTGTGTGTGTGTGTGTGTGTGTGTGTGTGTGTGTGTAAGAGTGTAAGAGAGAGCAGGAGAGAGTCATCAGGACCTTCAATCACTGGAGTAAGGTTTTTAAATCCATATTTCTAGAAATTAGAGCTGCCAGTTTCTAGTAGTTTGAGCACAGAGAAAGATTTGCAAAAAAAATCAATAAAGTTATTTTACTCTTCTCTTTCATTGATTCAGTTATTCAGGTATTTGTTGATCACCTCCTATTTGCCCAGGCATTATACAAAGTGCTGTGGGATACAGTGGTGAACACGACAGACTTGGTTCCTGCTTTTATGCAGTTTGCCGTCTAGTTTCAACAGATAGAAAACCAGCAGTGAGTAAACCAAGGTGAGGCCTTGAGCTCTTTGTTTCTATACCAGTCAGTGAGGAGATAATTATGAATACAAGAAGTCTTGAGTAAACAATGAGGTTTTTGGCTTAAGTCAATCTATAATTAAAACCAGTACTAATGTTTTTAGATTTTAATTGCTTGTCATATTGATGAGGCTAGCACCTTAATCACTGTTTAACTAGTTTTATGTTCATTTTTAAAAAGCAATTATTTATTTTAAGCCATTTTTAATAGTGGCCCTTTTAATGTTGTTCAGCTATCTGAATGGTTTCACAGTTATTTTCATTAAAGTTAAATTTTTAAAAGTTCCAAAAACCCTATTTATTTTCTTGTTCACAGTATCTAATGCATGACAATAATAAACGTTTCCCTTACTGATAAATGGCCACTTCTCTTTAGGAGTGTAGCAAATTAGATTGAGCTATGTCAGATTGCAATAATGTATGTTAACTTTAGTAATTTAAGACTGGTACCTTTCTATAGTATGAATGTCTTAATTCTGTTATAAAGTTTATGTTAATGGCTGTTGAACATTCAGAGTTGTAATTATTTTGGGAGGAAGGGAATATTTGACAGTGAGCCTTATTAAGAACACTGCTACGGTTCTGAAGGGGAAATATAAAATCTATGATTATATATAAAAATAACTTAGATTATATAGCTGTAATTATAAAATATATTGGCTTTTCTTTAATTTTCAATATAAAAAGACATAGTAGCTATTTCTTGCATAATTTTGTTATATAGAACAGCTTTTAGGCAACTTTTAGTAAAATTATACAAGCACACCATTCCCTAGTTACTACTTTGATGCCCAAGGTGGGGGGAGTAGCTGCTTGCATCTATTGGCATCAGGGCTCATGAGGGCCAGGGAAACCACTCTAATCCTTTGGGGGCAGCAGGGAGGGGTTTCTAGGGCTGTGGGGAAGGAATTGCAAGTGCCTGGGAACCAGATTGTCCTCTAGCCGTGGAATTGAACACTTTTAAATCTAAAAAACCTTAGCTCAGAAAGTACTGTGTACCAGTCTTTAGAAAGGTGGCCCGTACCACCATGAACAACAAAAGAGCATGGGCTAAAGTTGACGGACCTGGGTTCCAATCCTGATTCTGCTTTTAATAACTGGATGTATGACCTGACCAAGTGGCTTTCTGTCAGCTACAGTTGTCATCTCTGAAATGCAAGTAATACTTCTATTTCGGAAGACCATTTCTAGGATTAACAGAAATTACAGGAACAGAGGCACTTTAGGCTTGAGACAGCCCCTATAAAGCAGTAGCTGTTTCTTAATTGTTAGTCTGTTCGTGCTCTAGGAAAAGGGAACGAAGAGGTAAGAGAATGGTGTTAGGGGACAGATTAAAGGGATGGTGTAGACTTTTGGGATTGGTGGGTATATTTTGTGTTTTCCAGTTTATTTTCACATTGCTTTACTGTGTTATTTCTATAAAATTTAATGTTTTAAACCTCTTTTATAAAATTCAGTGACAACTAGTAGAATTCTCTCCTTTGCAGAAGTTAACTTATCTCCAAAGTGGCTGAAAATATTGTTCATCATTACATGATTATCAAATGACTGTGAAGAATATAAAATTAAACTTAGTGACTTAATTAGTCACTGCCTTGCTAACTGTGCTGTAATTTTTTTAAACGTCTTGTTTTTAATATAGCAGACTATCTCAATACTGGCTGGATTAGGTTAAATAAAGAATTTTTATGTTCTCTAGGTGTACTTTGTCTGTTGAACAACTCCCAAAACGTAATTTGTTAGTTTTTTAAAATCCTAGTTATCAAGATACTAGTGAGAATTTTCTTTTAGTAAAAATCTGAAATTTAAAGAAAAAACTAAAGAGAAATTGTCTTAATACAAGCAGGCTGGCCTAAATTCCAACTACATTCTGATTTTTAAAATGTATACCCCCTCAGCCACTTGGACTGACTATGAGTAGATAACCACAGACAAGATCTGTGGGTGGTCTCATGCTACAGGGTATCTTAAAGTATGTTCACGTAGGTTAGGAACACATTAAAAAAGTTGCTTCCTCTGAGGTACAAAGAACTTAAGTTTCTGAAGATTAGAATCTTCTAGAATGAGTACATCAAATAAAGACCCATCCATGGGAATTGTATTTTTTCTAGTTTATTTCATTACCCCCATCTGAGAGACTAGCAGAGAAGTGGCATAGAGTCAGACAGTCCTAGATGCATATTCTGATATTTATAGGGCAAGTTACTTTATCTCTCAGACCCTTAGTTTCCTCATCAATAAAATGAAGATTATAAAACCTATCTCCCCTGGTTGTTATGAGAATTAAGTGAGGAAACATTCTACAACAGTTTGATATACAGAAAAACTAAATCTGTGCCAATTTAAGTAGACATTTGTTTGCCCATAGCCTTCCTTTGGTCCCCTGGGATCTCAGGGTTGCCTCTTCTCTGCTACCTGCCACCCTATACACCCACAAGAAATGGTAGAGCGATAAAATGTCTTATTTAACTGCCTTCCTGGAACAAAGATTCTGAGCAAAGGGAAGAGAGAGTTTGCAGCTGAATGGCTGTAGAAGCTTTGGACATGCAACAGAGGTTAGGCTATCATTCTGGTCAACCTGTGCAGATTAAGCCTTTTACTGATAACCGCCTGCTAAGGTTACTATATGTCAGCAATATATACTATACTTCACCAGGTGTTTGTTGAGCACCTGTATGAGCCAGACACTGCCAAGTCCTGGAGTAAAATGGGGAATAAGCCTGCTCTGAAATATTTATTCTTAAGAGTACACTTTAAAATTAAACTGTGAAATACTTTGAACACTTAGAAGATGTGCCCTGTTTAAATATGGACTCTCTAGTTTAAAATTGGCAAGAAACAATCTATAACAGGAACTAAGAGGTTGTTCATGATTTTTTAATAATACACATTTATCAGTGTATTTATCAATTCAGATAATTGTACACCAAAAATAAGACCTGCAAAAGTACATAATTTTTAAGTATAAGTCAATCAAGTTTTGCAAAATGATCACATATATCATTATCAGTAAGGGTCCATTCAGGAGATACAAATCAGCTATTTGAACAAGGAAAATAAAAGAAATTGTTAGCTGGTAGGAAGTAAATGATAAAAGGAGAAGACTAATGAAAAGTAGGGGCAAAAAAGCAGCTACTCCTACTAGGCTGAAGGAGGGTAGACATTAAGGGAACTAGGACTTTAAAGGTCTCTTTCCCTAAAAGGCTGAGATTCAGACACTTTTGAAAAGGGTGCAGCTACCATAGCACTTGTGTCAAGGGGTGGCAGAGAAATTTGCCACAGGGCAGGCTGGAGCTGGTGTGTAGAAGCTGAGCTGGTCGGGAGAGAGAGGCCTGAGGATGCAACTAGATAGACGTGTCTAGGCTGCTGAGCTCCAGTGCTTAAAAGGTCATAATGGAGGCTAGAATCTGGAAGGAAGGTGTCTTCCTGACACGATAGCCTTGTGGTGTCACTCCTGTGCCTTCTGTTGAAAAAGCCTAATGTTCCAAAGGAAAAATGTTTACAGGATCCAGTTCAGTGTCACAAAGTTGGACAAAGAAGGGTGGATTTACAACTGAGTAAGTTGGCAGGGTAACCAGCGCCCCTCTTTGTGACCCCTCCTAATAATCTCTTAACACCCCACCCCACCCCTACCACAAGGAAACCTAACCCTGATATACTTGATTCACAGGAAGGGCCCTAAGTGACTTAACAGCATAACATCCAGGATGATAAATGGTCCATTTGCATATATTTGGGTTAGGGTATAAATTGGTATGGAAGGCAATCAGTATCTATTAAGATTACAAATGCATGTACCCATTGACCCAGCAGCTCCAGTCCCAGGAATTTATCTTAAGATATACTTGCACTTAAGTACAGCAACCTATCTACCAAGTTACTTGTTGTCACAGTATATTGGACTCAAATGTCTTAAGTATGGATTTGGTTAAATAAAGTGTGGTACATCCATAACAAAACTACAAGCTATAAAAAAGAATGAAGCTGTTTACCTACTGATGTGAAAATATTTCTAATGTATATTATTAAAAAAAAAAAAAAAACCTCAAGATGTAGAACAGTGCTTATAGCATGTTACCCCTAGTGGAAAATAGGGGATGGGAAAATTAAATAAACATTTGTTTATGCCTTAAAAATCTTTGGAAGGACACACAAGGAAACTAGTTGTCTACAGGAGGTTTGAGAACTGGGGAGATGCAGGTTGGTATAGGAGGGATACTCCTTACTGTTACCTTTTATACTTTTCTCCTAACTATGTAGATACATTATTTTTAAAGTAAGTAAGAATTAAATTTCCCCACTGAGGACAGTACTGAAAATCAAAGGGGAATTTGTATCTCTTGAAGCTAGCAGTATTTGAATTCTATGACAATACTTTCTCCTTTCTAAAGACTGATGTGATTGCCTTTTGAGAAATAATATTGCATCTCCCTCAAGTGGATCTTCCAGTAGTTATTCAGTAAGTGCTATTGAACTGATTTTGCTTCCCATAAGATTAGTTTTTGACAAAACATTTTACAACTAGTTTTGCCCAGCAATGTACACAATGAGTGGGTTTTGAGACAACGCTATCCAACCCATAAAAATGGATATCAGGACTTATCAAAGCAAGGAAATAACATATCTTAAAGGTTTATTACTTATTCATGTATTTATGCATTCATTCATTCATTTTGTTGAGTCAACATTTCTTGAGAACTTAGTATCTATCTGATAGTATGCTAGGCATGAAAATTCAGAATTCATAATACTAATAATTTATAATATCCAATTATTTATTGCATGCTTACTATATGCCAGGTACTTATCCAGATATGACTATTAACTCATTTAATCCTCTTAACAACCCACACATAGTTTTTATAAGTTATAGTATACTACAAATGAGGCAACTGAGGCACCCTGTTTTGGGTTTTTTTAAGTAAATTACCCAGGGTTACATTTCCTCTACCCTCATAGAACTCACACTTTTAGTAGAGAGGACAGGAAGGAAAACATAAATCCCAATACAGCGTGAAAAGTGTTTTGTCTTTTTTTTTTTTTTAAGTGTAATGACAGAAGAGGTACAGAGGTAGCAAGGGAGTAGAGCTTCTTAAAGGTGGATCTTGGAAGATAAATATGAACCTGACAGGTGGGAAGAAAGAGGCGTAGACAGTGTCTTGAAGAAAATTCTGAAAAAGTAGAGTGCTATTGATGTACTAGCATCATATACTCAAATATATTGAAAGGGGGGAAACTTTAAACCTGAGGTACTGTCATATAAATGAACGAAACACTGGAAAGAGTAGCAGTTCTAAAATAGACCCAAAAATAAATGGGTATTTTGTATATGAAAAAGTAGCATTTAAGTCAGTGAAAACAAAGATGGATTAATCAGGATATAGTCTTGGAGCAATTGGTAGCCATCTGGAAATTCCCTTTACCAAAATAAACTTAAGATGGAACAAAAATTTAAGCATGAAAATCTTAACCATTTAAACACAACAAATGGGAGAAAATATTTTTTCTATCTGAGACACATATCTGATAAAGGACTTGTATCCAAAATACACAGATAACTCTTAAAACTCAATGATTAAAAAAAAAAAAGCTGGGCAAAAGATCTGAACATACCCCTCACTAAAAAAGACCTACAGATGGCAAAGAAAAAAAAATATGAAAAGATGCTCAGCAGCATATATCATTAGGGAATTGCAAATTAAAATAGCAATGAGATATCACTGCACAGCTTTAGATTAGCTAAAACCCCAAATCCTGACAATTATCAAATGCTGGTAAATAATGTAGAACAAGAAGAACTTTCATTTATTCTGGTAGAAATGCAAAATGATACAGTCACTTGGGAGGTTAGGTAGTTTCTTAGAAAGCTCAACAGTCTTCCCATGTCCTCCAACAGTCACAGTCACAGATATTTACCCAAGTCAATTGAAAACTTAGATTCACACAAAAACCTGCGTACAAGTGTTTATAGCAGCTTATTCATATTTGTCAAAAAATAGAAGCAGCCAAGATGTCCTTCAAATTTAATGGATAAACTGTGGTGGATTATTATTCAGCAAGGAGAGAAAAATGAGCTATAAAGCCACAAAAAAAGACATGGAGGAAAGCTAAATGCATATTGTTATTAAAAAAAAAAAAAACCAGTCTTGATAAGCTGTATGAGTTCAACTATATAGCATTCTGGAAAAGGCAAAACTACAGAAACAAGATTTAAAAATCAGCTGTTTACCAGGGGTTGGAGCAGGAAGTAGAGGATAAGGCTAACAAATATGTGAAGTACAGGAATTTTGGGGCCGTGAAAATATGCTATATAATAATGGAAATTAACATATTAATTATGTTAATGGTAAATACATGACATTATGCGTTTGTCAAAATCCATAGAATTGTGTAACACAAAGAACCTTAATGTAAACTGCAGATTTTAGTTAACAATTATGTATCAATATTGTTTCATTCACTGTAACAAATGTAACAAACTAATGTAAACTCTTAATGATAAGGGAAACTAAGTGGTGGGGGGCAAAACTGTTTTGTACTACCTGCTCAATTTTTCTGTAAATCTAAAACTGTTCTTAAAAAATAAAATCTATTAATATAAAAAATTTTAATACTACCCGAAAACAGAATTGTATTTATTTTTGAATTGTATTTTTTTAAAGATTTTTCTTTTCAAGTAATCTCTATTCCCAATATGGGACTAAAACCCACAACCCTAAGTCACATGCTCCACTGACTGAGCCAACCAGGCACCCCCAAAACTGTATTTTTAATAAGGTCACAGCATAAAAAAATTTAAGAAATCATAAGGCACATGAAAAGATGATCAACATCACTAACAATCAGGGAAATGGAAATCAAAACCACAATGAAATAATCACCTCTCACCCCTGAGAATGGCTATTACCAAAAAGACAAGAAATACCATTTATTTTTTATTTTTATTTTTTTAAAGATTTTATTTCTTCATTTGTCAGAGAGAGGGAGAGAGAGCACAGCAGGGGGAGCAGCAGGCAGAGGGGGAAGCAAGCTCCCTGCCAAGCAAGGAGCCCAATGTGGGACTGGATCCTAGGACCCGGAGATCATGACCTCAGCCAAAGGCAGACACTTAACCAACTGAGCCACCCAGGTGTCCCAAGAAATACCATTTATGATAAAAACCCTCAACAAAGTATATTTAGATAGAACATACCTCAACATAATAAAGGTCAAATATGAAAAACCCACAGCTAACATCATACTCAATGGGGAAAAACTGAGAGCTATCCCCTAAGATCAGGAACAAGACAAGGATGTCCAGGGGCACCTGGGTGGCTCAGTCGTTGGGCGTCTGCCTTCAGCTCAGGTCATGATCCCAGGGTCCTGGGATAGAGCCCCACATCAGGGTCCCTGCTCTGTGGGAAATCTGCTTCTCCCTCTCCTAGTCCCCCTGCTTGTGTTCCCTCTCTTGCTTTGTCTCTCTCTGTCAGATAAATAAATAAAATCTTAAAAAAAAGACAAGGATGTCCACTCTTACCATTTTTATTCAATGCAGTACTGGAAGTCCTAGCCAAAGCAATCAGACAAGAAAAAGAAATAAACAGCATCCAAATTGGTAAGGAAGAAGTAAAACTTTAATTATTTGCAGATAACATGATACTATAGATGGAAAACCCTAAAAATCCCACCAAAAAAACTAGAAATGATAAATGGATCAGCAAGTTTGCAGGATACAAAATCAAATCCATTGCATTTTTTTTTTAAGATTTTATTTTTGTGAGAGAGAGAGAGATTGAGAGGTGGAGGGCATAAGTGGGGGGAGGGTAGGGGGAGAAGAAGACCCTCCACTGAGCAGGGAGCCCTACACGAAACTCGATCCCAGGACCCTGGGATCATGACCTGAGCTGAAGGCAGACACCTAAGCAACTGAGCCACCCAGGCACCCAAATCCATTGCATTTCTATATGCTAATAATGAAGTAGCAGAAAGAGAAATTAAGAGAATAGTCCCATTTACAATTGCACCAAAAATAATAAAATACCTAGGATTAACTTAACCAAAGAGGTGAAAGACCTGTACTTTGAAAACTATAAAATACCAATGAAAGAAATTAAAGAGGACACAAATGGAAAGATAGTCTATGTTCATGGATTGGAAGAACAAATACTGTTAAAATGTCTATACTATCGAAAGCAATCTACACATTCAATGCAATCCCTATCAAAATACAAACATCATTTTCCACAGAACTAGAACAAATAATCCTAAAATTTGAATGGAACCATAAAAGACCCCAAATAGCCAAAGAAATCTTGAAAAAGAATAAAACTAGAGGTATCACAATCCCAGATTTCAAGATGTACTACAAAGCTAAAGTAAAACAGTATGGCACCTGCACACAAATAGACACAGATCAATAGAACAGAACAGAGAGCCCAGAAATAAACCCATAATTATATGGTCAATTAATCTTCAACAAAGGAGGCAAGAATATGCAATGAGGAAAAGACAGTCTCTTCAACAAATGGTGTTGGGAAAACTGGACAGCCACATGCAAAAGAATGAAACTGGACCGCTTTCTTACACCATACCCCAAAATGGATTAAGGACCTAAATGTGAGACTTGAAACCATACCCCAAAGTGGATTAAGGACTTAAATGTGAGACCATACAAAATCCTAGAAGAGAACATAGGCAGTAATTTCTCTGACATCCACTTTAGCAGATATGTCTAGATATGTCTCTTGAGGCAAGGGAAACAAAAGCAAAAATAAACTATTGGGACTACATGAAAATATAAAGCTTCTGCACAGCAAAGGAAACAACAAAACTAAAAGGCAACCTACTGAATGGGAGAAGATATTTGCAAATGACATATCCAATAAAGGGTTAGTATCCAAAATATTTAAGAACTTACACAACTCAACACACACACAAAAAAAACCAATCCAATTTAAAAATGGGCCGAAGACCTGAGCTGACATTTCTCCAAAGAAGACATACAGATGACAAACAGGTACATGAAAAAGCATACATCACTCATCATCAGGAAAATGCAAATCAAAACCACAATGAGATATCACCTCACAACCTATCAGAATGGCTAAAATCAAAACACTACACCTGAAACTAATATTACACTGTATGTTAACTAAAATTTGAATAAAACTTAAAAAAAATAACAAACACAAGAGACAACAAGTGTTGGTGAGGATCTGGAGAAAAAGGAACCCTCGTGCACTGTTGATGGGAATGCAAACTGATGTATCCACTGTGAAAAACAGTATGAAGATTCCTCAACAAATCAAAAATAGAATCACCATATAATCCAGTAATTCCACTACCCGGTATTTACCCAAGGAGGAGTGCCTGGATAGCGCTCAGATGGTTGGGCATCTGTCTTCAGTTCAGGTCATGATCCCAGGGTCCTGGGATCGAGTGCCGCATCGGGCTCCCTGCTAGGCGGGGAGCCTGCTTCTCCCTCTGCCTCTGTCTCTCTCTCTCTCTCTCTCTCTGACTCTCATGAATAAATAAATAAAACATTTAAAGAAAAAAAGAAAACACGAATTCAAAAGTATACATGCACTCCTAATGTTTATAGCAGCATTATTTACAAGAGCCAGCACAAGTGTCCATCAATAGATGATTGAATAAAGAGGTGGTATGGAATGGAATATTATTCAGTCATAAAAAAGAATGAGATCTTGCCATTTGCAACAATATTGATGGAGCTAGAGAGTATAATGCTAAGTGAAATAAGTCAGAGAAAGACAAATACCATATGATTTCATTCATATGTGAAATTTAAGACAGAATACAAGTGAACAAAGAAAAAAAAAAGACAAACCAGGAAACATTCTTTACAGAGAACAAACTGATGGTTATCAGAGGGGAGGTGGGTGTAGGGATGGGTGAAATGGGTGACAGGGATGAAGAGAACACTGAGTAATGTACATAATTGTTGAATCACTATATTGTACACCTGAAATTAATATAACACTATGTTAACTATATTGGAATTAAAATAAATTTAAAAATAAGCTATATTCGCAGATAATTCAGCAAAACCAAGTTTGGCGAGAATGACTGCATTCTTATCAGGAGATTTTTAAAAAGACAAGAAATAGGGGGGCACCTGGGTGGCTCTGTTGGTTAGGCATCTGCCTTCAGCTCAGGTCATGATCCCAGAGACCTGGGATCAAGTCCCATGTTGGGCTTCCTACTTAGCCAGGAGTCTGCTCCTTCCTTTCCCTCTGCCCCTCCTCCCCACTCATGTTCTCTCTTTCTCTCTCAAATAAATAAAATCTTTAAAAATAAATAAATAAATAATAAAAAGACAAGAAATACGGGCACCTGAGTGACTTGGTCAGTTAGGCATCCAACTCCTGATTTCGGCTCAGGTCATGATCTCAGGGTTGTGAGATTGAGCCCTGCTTTGGGCTCCACACTGAGCCTGGAGCCTGCTTGGGATTCTCTCTCTCCCTCCCCACCCCTAAAAGAAAAAAAAAAAAAGACAAGAAATAACAAGTGTTGATAAGGATGTAGAGAAAAGGGAACCCTTGTGCACTATCAGTGGGAATGTGAATTGGTGAAGCAACTATGGAAAATAGTACGAAGAGTCCTCAAAACATTAAAAATAGAACTACAATACAATCCAGCAATTCCACTTCTAAGTATTTATCCTAACAAATGAAAGCACTAATTGGAAAAGACACATGCACCACTACGTCCATTGCAGCATTATTTACAATAGCTAAGATATGGAAGCAAACTAAGTGTCCATAAATAAATGAATGGATAAAAAAATGTACATACATACACACCAGAATATTACTAGGCGTAAGAAAGAATGAAATCTTGCCATTTGCAACATGAATAGACCTAGAAGGTATTATGCTTAGTGAAATAAACAGAGAAAGACAAATATCATATGACTTCACTTTTAAAAACATTTTTTTTTTTAAGATTTTATTTATTTGACAGAGAGAGACACAGCGAGAGAGAGAACACAAGCAGGGGGAGTGGGAGAGGGAGAAACAGGCCTCCCACAGAGCAGGGAGCCCGATGCGGGGCTCGATCCCAGGACCCTGGGATCATGACCTGAGCCGAAGGCAGACGCTTAACGACTGAGCCACCCAGGCGCCCCCATATGACTTCACTTTTATGTGGAATCTAAAACAGCAAAGAATGAACAAAACAGAAACAGACTCATAAATACAGAAATCAATCTGATGGGTGCCAGAAGGGTAGAGGAATGGGTAAGGTACAGCATAGGGAATATAGTCAATAATATTGTCACAAATTTGTATGGTGACAGATGGTAACGAATTATTGTGACCATTTCACAACATATAAAAATACTGAATCACTATGTTGTACACCTGAAACTAATATAATATTGTATATCACTTATTCTTCAATAAAAACAAAACTACAAAACATCAAAGAACAAAAAGGGGCACCTGGGTTGCTTAGTCGGTTGAACATCCAACTCTTAGTTTCAGCTCAGGTCATGGTCTCAGGGTCATGAGACTGAGCCTTGAGTCGGGCTCCGAGCTCAGCATGGAGTCAACTTGAGATTCTCTCTCCCTCTCCCTCTGCCCCTCCCCCACCTCTCTAAACTAAACAAATA